AATAATAGTTTAGTTTTAATTCCCACTGTATCTATAATTATTAATCATAGTTGTTCTGTTGCTTGCAGATAATTCGGATAATTTTGTTGATTTTATATTATACTGAATATATTACGAGAAATTCAAGCGCGCAATTCAAATTTATTTCTCAAAAACTTATAATTAATAAGTTATAATTATTGAATTATATCTTTCAAGAATATTTGTATATTATTCCAGAATCTTTATTATTAAATTTATTTAACAATCTTCAACATGTTTTTGCAACTTGTCAAAATACCTCTCTTATGCTTTACAACTTGCTTATCGTGAAAACTTGAGAATTTTATTGCTGCGCTTGCGTTTCGTTTTAACCAATGGTTAAAAAAAACTATTAAACATTTATTTTTAGGTTACCTACTCGAAGAATTTATGAATTGTATAGTTTGACATAGTCTTCCAATATCTGGCATAAACTAGTGGTGTATGGGATCTTTAGGCAAATTGCTGGAACCTCCCGTACCCGTAGTTAAATATTCGAAGAATATTAAATGTTTTCAAATACATATATTATTATAAATACTGTAGCATGACTGTAACTTTCATATTTGTATTTTATAAACAAAATATAAGAGCTTCAAAATGATGTTTATATAAGTTTACATGAAAAGTATATGAACTAAACTTAATAAAGCAAAGTTGGAATGAAAGAACTTATCTCATATTTCTGAAAATTATATAAACTGACTTACAAAGTTTCAATTATTTCAAGTATATAAGTGAGGTTTAGAATTTAAGCTAGAATTAAAATTAAAACCCAAATTATTTTCGATATTCAGAAAATATTTGAAGTTTGGAATTAGTGCTCTTAGTAGATGCACCGTACAAGCATAACCGTTCTGTGTTTTGTACTGATCACCGTTGACCTGCACTCTTAAACAAAAAATACATTTCTGCAACACGAATTAGAAATGATTTGTTGTATATCTACATGTGTTATAAATTTGTCTGAAAGATATCAATTGGAAATAGCATTTATTAGTATTTGGTGAAAAGCAATTTTATTTTTGAAATCTTAACTACACCTTAATTAATAAAACCTTAATCGTAACTAAATCTTAATTTTGATTGATTGAGTATATTATTTCCACTTTTCGGCAAGTTATTGTAAATTGCCTTAGGATGAAATACCACCAAAATAACAACTCGATATTTCAGAATATGCTTTGTATTCCTCAAAAATTGAAGTGAATTGTACTATTCTATTCTATTATATATACGAATGACAAATACACTCGTTAATATACAAAATCATGCGTCAATCACGGTTAACTGGTTAAGACCCACTTCTTATTTTAATCCATTTCAAAACCCCCAAAAAACATTTGAAGATTTCGTAATATTCAAAATGTTTTAATACTAACATTTTATTATTTTATAGTACCAACAATTTTCCATACAAACAACAGTTTCTGATCAAAATTGGCCGATCAAAAATCTTAATTCGAGCTTTTCTCCTGAATATGTAATCTACCTAGTTTTCAGTCAACTATTACAGTTTCATTGTAACAAATAGTCAATAACAAAATATGCGCTCCAGTAAATTTACGTGCGCATGTTAATATGTTATGTGGACCGAGAGAATACGTTACATTTCTGTGCAGTCAGTAAGCGGCAACCGGCGATGATAATGGGGCCTACCTGACAAACGTAACAAAAGCCGTTACTGGGCGTATTGCTACGCAAATCACAGTCGAGCGAGGAACAGAACAATATCGAATAAAGTAAATTAATGTTGATAATATGCAAATTAGTTATTAAAACATTTGAAAATAAATACTTTATTGAAGCTATACATATTGAAATGTTCAGTTCAACACTAAATAATGGATACATTAAGATCCTTCGTTGACCACTTAGGTATGGACAACGAGTATACTCGACATTTAGTGGACGACCGTCATATGAACATGATGCGTACGGACTAGAGATGGGTAACTCACTCCGGAGGTATCACTCAGATACAACTCCTCCCTCGGAGTGAATCCGAGTGGAGTTGTCTCACCGGATTTGTCATATCCAACTTCCCTAAACTGGTACTATAAATCTGTTACTGCGTTTTGCTTTGGGAAGGAAGCTGTCGCTTTCTCGTCTCAGAGGCAGTTTTATGACCTTTTAGATATACGCTTTTTCCAGAAAATACAAAAATATTACTTCAAAGATACAGAACAATGAAATTGTGTTCAAGTGTGAATAGCTCCAATGTAAAATTTATTGAATAGTAAGGGGTCATATTTCTAACTACGACAATCTTTGGCCGTGAATGACGGCAATCAGGAATATACATATCAAAAAATACACGAAACAAAATACATTTAATCTGGTTTTTCCATAGTCTGAAATAACAACACTTTAGAGTGCGAAATATATCAGTGACGTTAATAGTATTTAAGCAGAAAAAAATATATAGTATTAAATTTTTACTTTTACACAATTATATAATTTAATATGCTAATCGAACTACCCGATATAATATTAATTCTCAAATGGAAGTAGCAGAAAAAAAATTTGAAATCAGAAGTATTATTATTTGGTGAAAATATTTTATGATAAATGTTTTGCTTTTATTACAAAGTTTACTACATTATTTTTATATAAAATTAATCCAAAAAATCAATTATTTTCTCATCGAAAGAACATAATTAAATTGAATTTGATTCTCAAGTTTTGCGCGTTTACTTTGGTCAACACTGTTAAAATTACGAGTCATTGAGTCGATCATGTGGTCGATCAAAAAATTTTACAACTCGTCATTTATTTGTGAAAAGAAAATTTTGAAAAATTATTTTATTGATATTTTTTAATTTTATTTTATTCATAAATTTTTATTTCAAAAAATTAAATTGGATTTGACAAATCCTTAGATGCATAAACAACGCACTATAGAACGCATTTGTGTCAAGTATTTCGGTTTCAAAGTTGTCGGAGTCGTGGAGTTGTTAAGCGGATATAACTCCTCCCTGAAGCGGAGTCAAATCCGAGTCAATCCGGCTTCGGATATGATAAGCCCATCTCTAGTACGGACAGTGCATGCAGGCTGTGAGCAACTTTTCGTGGCCAATAACCGTGCCGAAGTGGTTAAGACGTGGAGTCCTACGTTATAACATTTCGCTTTATGTTATGACGTTCGGTTTTATGTTATGACGTCAAAAAATCTCGAAATATCACGTGGAAGGAGTATATCATTTTCAAAAAAAATAAAAAAAAATAAGTTTTTTCACGTAACTAAAAATACACTTGATGTTTGACGGGGAGGGGGTGTTAATTTTGAATATCACCACGTATCACCAAGGGGGAGGGGATCCAAAAATCCTTAAAAACTAGCTCACGTGATTAATGGACGCCCCTTTAGGACAATGGGTCCCATGTTGAGCCGTACGGTCATCCATTTGGAAGTTCGGTACTCCATTGACATTGACAAAATCGTCGGATGATCATTGTGCAAACAGTGGCGGATCCAGCTTTGGCACTAGGGGGGAGGTCACATAATTGAATTAAAGTTCTCAATGAGTATGTTAAATTTTGGGAGTCTTTGACTCCTCCGTTCTTCTGTAATAAGTTACATATTGAAGTTATAAAATGTGTTTGGCAACAAAATACATAAATAAAATCATTATGAAGTAATTTCAATGCTGAATTAGTATTCTATCTAAGTCTTAAGACAAGCTCGGGGGGGGGTCATGACCCCCGTGACCTACCCCCTGGATCCGCCACTGTGTGCAAAGGCTTTGTAATGACGTCAGTCCTAATCGTGATTTGCGCAAAACAACACAAATGAAGACATATTGTTATGACGTTGAAAAGCCCAATAGTCAATCGTTTATTTCATTTTTGAAACTGATACAAAACAAAGTACGTGTGTCTTATTATCAGTCAAGTACAAACTAGGTGTATATGCTATAATGCTATGTGCCTCACATAGAAATCGCATGTTAGCGGCGTGCCTACCAAGTCCACAACAACAAAATTCATACTCAAATGTTGAAAGTTGTTTGCGCAACAACGGTTACCTTATTTTTGTGTGTGTGTATAGAGCTTCAAACAAAGAATTCAAATGTAATAAAAGATATCTAATCGCTAAAAGATTTTTAAAGAAAAAAAAAACAGATTTATTTACCTGAATAATTGATTTACACTAACATGATAGCTTTTTATTAATTGGATTCTTTATTCGAAGCTATACACAAAATATAATATATACAATATATATATATATATATATATAAATGTATATAACTATGTGTGTGTATACATGCGTGTGTAATTTACTTACAAGTTATTGGTATAATAATTTAGGTATAGGTATATATAATTTTGTAAACATATTTTAAACAAATAACTATATCTAAAATAATTCACTGTCAAATCTTTTAATAATCATGTAAAGCTTGGCCTACGACAAATGCACTCATTAACATTTAAAGTGGGGTTATAAAAACAATTCCAGTATAATTTGGTTTCGAATTGGTAATTACACATGCAACCTATTCATTCACATTTAGATATTATACTTACGCAAATTACATGAAAATTTTGTTTTGTTCAGCGGTATTTTAACCCATTGTATAATGAGAATTAAAAATAAATGAAAATTCGGAACCCCACGGACAGAAAAGTCGTTCGCAGAATTATTAGGAAAGCAAATCGAATATTATTTGGAAACATAGAACTTTAAATATGATGTTATACAATATAATTAAGTGCTTAGAATAATTGAAATAATGCAAATGGTATTCATATGATTAGGTTCATAAAATTCATTCAACGTTAAATAAATATAGCAAATAGAGTAAAAGTAATTACACTAAATTCTATATATGTATATGTATATATATATATATATATATATATATATATATCTTTATATATACATATGAAATTTTCTATAAATTTATTAAAACATTTGTAAACAATATGTCAAATTAAATGTAATATGACAGATAAATTCAAAGAAATATTACCTTGCGAACCCTTGACATGATAAAACTTGTTGCACACTATAAATACCAAACAAAAATAGCACAAATACACAATTAAAATTATTAAACTGTATATAATATTCTATTATACGATAAAAATAAATACAAATGACAATGACAAACAAACGTTGGCTGCCATTTTGGTAAAATATTACTGAAAGCACAGATACAACTTTTCATTGATCATAGATAGCAACCCAACTTGCACTAACTATATTGAGATGGCGCTGATCTCGCCTGCATTTTGAAGTTATTTGTTGAAGTGAAAGTAGAAATAAGTGCAGAGTATAAATATGGTATAAATAATAAATATATTGAAATTGCATAGTTCATATATATTAGATAAATTAATACAATATAAATTTTAAACAAAACTTCATCATGTTGTGAAAATTAGTTTCATTTACATCCTCTTGCCATCTAGTGTGCGATTTTTCACTAATAAGGCTAAATAAATAAAATTTTAATAATCATTATATTTTATTAAAGTTATTCTATTTCACCTTGAAAAAGACTTTGGTAAACGTCTGACAACTATCATATCACAATATTATACTTTTCTCACGTTTGTTATTTCAAACGGTTATTTAAACGGAAACCCAGATTGTTTCGTTTATATGATTTATTAGAACAACAGCCGCAAATCAATCAATTTTGTACAGCGTCAAGTAAAGTTCTGTTATCAGAATAAGAGTAATGATTCAATTCAATTTTTTACCTTTTGCCTTGTGACAAGTTGCATAAACTTCCCAACACGTACGTATTAATTGCACGTTTAACTAATCTACTTAATCATTAGGAATGGAATACTATAGTCATATTTAAGGAAAACTTTAATCTTTTAGGTTGTTTGTTTATACCATGAACTCTATCGTCATGTTAAGTTTCAATAAAATCACAAAAAAAAACTTTATTTAACATTTAATTACGAAGGAACGGCCCACCGATCTTTACTATCCCATCAGCTCGATTCCCAACTAATATCTTTTCTACAAATTTTGGCTCACATACACATTCGCTCAATTAAATTGAATTTCAAATTTTAGCGTCTATTCTAAACTATTTGGAATAAACTTGTAACTGCAAAATAACATAAAATAAGTAATTCGGATTTTCTCAAATAAAAAATAACTTACTTTTTCTTCGGGAAGTTAATGAATATTATATAAACCTCCTGGTGAATAACTACAAAATTTAACCTCCTGTTTGCATACAAAATTTTATTTTTTTTCTTAAGATTTAACGAAATTCAGAATGCTAGATTTGCTATCTATCACAATCAAAAAAATAAATATCGCATTGTTAATCAGATCTATTAAATTCACTAACATTTTAACAAATTTATTTTCTGTCCCTTACTATTTTCATTTCCACAATGAAAACTATAAATTCTTTTGCGAGGAAAGACCAGAATGTTAATAATATCCCAATAATATAGAATAGGTGGCAAAAGGTAAATGGAAACACAAAAGTGAGTTAACCAGACAATTTTTTCATTTACAAATAATAGATAACTATAATTTATTAAAATATATATAAATATATATAATTAATAATTATAATCAGACTTTTTTATTGATTATCAATAAATAATTATAATATACTTTTTTAATAATCGATTTATATAATAATCCTAGAATGATATAATATAAGGTTGCTCGAAAAGTCACTTCATTTTTTTACCACCTAGGATCTAACTATATTTTTTTGAACCTAAAATCACACTTAAGCCCTATAATTATTATATGATTTGAAAGCTTATATTTTAAAATTTGTGTGTAAAAATTCTAATTAATTACAAGCTGTTGTTTTTTAGTGGTGCCACTTTGAATACGAAAAGAATTAAGCAGCATTTTCGACATGTTTTACTCTTTTGGTATAGAAAAAGTAAAAATACTGTTTAAATCAAAATGAAATTGACTGAAGCATATGGAAATGGCGTATTGATAGTACAATAGTGCCAAAACTAGTTTGCTAAATTTCATTTCTGGTATTTTGGTGTCCAAGAGCACCACGTCCAAAAAGTACGGTTGAAGCTGATAAAACCACGAGAAAAGCATTAGTTGATGTAAACCGGCAAATAACAATACATCAAAACCCCTTGAGTTCAAATTTATCAATTTTAACAATTTATGCCCACTACTTAAAAGGTCTGGGATTTTCCTCGAAGCTCAATGTATGGTTGTCATAGAAAAAAACCTATGTCGTCGCACTAGCGTCCGCTATTCGCCTCTGAAAAGTCCTAAAAATGTTTAGGTTTTGAAGGAAATTGTCACTAGGAATATCAATTTGAATGTAAAGAATACAATGCACGCTATTTCCCATAAAACATAAAAGAAAAACCTGTTCAAAACAGTTGCAAAGCTGAAATTCGCCAAAAAAGGTGATGCAGAGTATGTTTGGTGATATTTTAATCGAGTTGTTCGTTTTCAGCTTTTTCAAGATAAAATAACAATTAATGTGAATGCCTTATGTCATCAGCTGGATAAACTTAATGATGTACCATTAACATGGGGTATTCTAATATTGTCTAGGTGATGTACTTTGTTAGAAAAGGTAAGAATTAACACACAAGCAAGGTATAGTATTGCATCATGACGACGCAAGACCTCACATAATTTGGTGCATCGCCAAAAGATTTTACAGCTTGCTTGAGGCATATTGCCGCATTTATCACATTCTCCAGAACTGCCATCATCGTACCATTACTTGTTCCAGTCAATAAAAAAAATTTTAGGCGGTAAAACCTTTACCTCAAATGAAGAGGTCAAAAAGCCTTTTGATCAGTTTTCTGCCAGTTACGATCACAAAATTTAAGATCTCGGAGTTATGCTAAATATGACAAAAGATGTTCGATTAAAATAGCCAATACATATTTTTTTATAGTATTTGTTTATTTTATAAATATTATGTGCCAAAATGTCTATAAAAAACAAAGTTACTTTCCAAACAACCCAATAGAAAAGGTCGCTCAACAAAAATTAAAAATTCATTAATACAAATTTCAAAAAGCATTTGATTTCTATTGACAAGAAAATGTGCGTATAAGGGGCAAAAATGGTAATTTAGTTTTTGAATTCAAATTTCAAAAAGCATTTGAAGTAGGTATGGTCTTTGATGTCTTGTTGTCTATGGCGAGACTTATGATGTGACCATGACAACTGATTGTTAGACTACTCTACTCTAACCTATAATTTCGTTTCAGTTCAGACACGCACGTTGTTTTGTGATTATTATAAAATATAAGTCGAAATACATTTGTTGACTACAACGGAATATAGTTTTTTTTTAGTACGTTTACTAAATAATATCAAGATGAGTGAGTTCGTCGACAGTCGTATGGAATTAATGATTCCTGAGATGAAATTAATGTTGAGAAACAAATTAGCAACCAAAGATGAAATAATGGTCCTTATTAAAAGACGTAAACACTTTGAACACAAATTGGCAAAGCATACAAAATCTAAAACGGATTTTATAAATTTTATCATGTTCGAGACGAACTTGTTTCAAGATATTAAGAAACGTAGAGATATTTATAATATAAGGAAAGATGTAGATAAAATTGACTTGTCAGTTGCTAGGCATATTGATAGTTTATACAAAATTGCTTTAAGCAATTACTCGGCTGATATATCCTTATGGATGTCATATATAGAATACTGTAAAAGTGTTGGATTTAAAGATTCCATATCTAAAGCATTTGTTCGTTTGCTGCGGATTCATATGGATAAAACTCAGTTATGGGCAATGGCAGCTAAATGGGAAGTCGAGGATAATAACAACGTTGCAAATGCCCTTGCATATTTAGCCAGAGGCATAGGGCATCACCCCAACGATGCATGCTTACATTCTGAAGTATTTAACTTGACTTTATTACAATCGGGTAAGAAAAATGAGGTTCCAGACATCAAGCAGGCAGAGGTTATTTATAATACAGCTGTAAAAAATATTAAAGATGTAGACTTTTTGATTGGTTTAATGAAAATTGCAGATAAATATCCTTTTGCTCGCCCATTACGTGATAGAATTGTAAGTGATTTAAAAGAAATGTATCCCAAAGAAGAAAAGGTCTGGCATTACATTGCAAAACTAACTTTGATGAATAAAAATACTATAAAATGTTCAAATGAAAGGTTTGAGTTGTGTCTGTCTATATACAAAGAAGCTGTTGCGGCAATACCAACCAAGAACATGTGGAGATGGTACATTGAGACTCTTGTTGAGTTGAATAGTGATTGTGAATGTTTTATTGTTGATGAAAGAATTGCACTTGAAGAAGCAATGGAAGAAGCTCACAGTTTGGGGATGATGGAAGCCGAACACTACATGGAATGGTTAAAACTTCTTAATACCAAAAGTGGAAAAGAGGAGGAAATTTTAAAAATAATGAGTGACTTGTCTAATAAAAACATGTTATCAGTAGATCTCTGGCTAGTTCTTCTACAATATCATTTGAGTCGTGGAGAGCATAATATTGGCCAACAAGTGTTTGAAAAAGCTATAAATGCCTTGGGTGAAGATGCTTATTTAATTTGGAAAGCAAATATTATGTATTTTATTTCCCTACCAGATGATGATGCTGGTGAGAAAGTTCAAGAAATGTTTTTGGCGGCGTTGCAACAACCTCCAAAGATCTCACAACCCATGAAGCCCAGGTATCTCGAATGGCTTGCAATGTCCAAGAATATTACTTGGGCACGAAATGCATATAAGGCCTTGGTTCAGTTTCCACCATTCTGTTTAGATTTACATAGAAAAATGGCACAACTTGAATCTTCACAAGTTGATCCAGATATGGATAATTGGAGGAAGTGCCATGAAGATGCTACTAGGTTATTTGGGAAATGTAATAAAGATGTTTGGATTGATTTTATTAAATTTGAAATGACTGATGGGGGGCAACCAGAAAAGGTCAATATTTTGTATAATGAAGCGAAACATAACTTAAAGCAAGACTTGGTACACATGTTCGAACTAGATTTTACTCAACTAACATCATCTCTTGCTGAAAATGAAGTAGAAGGGTAAAACGATATTTTAGGAAACATTTTTATATTAATGTTATTGTATAGAAAATAAGCATTTAATTTATTTTTATGTTAGATAATGCAATATCCTTACAAATTACTATATACTAAATAAAAACAATTGTTACAATTGTCCAGTGTTAATTAAGAATGTTAAGATAAATGTGTAAATAATTTGTATGTTACAATTTTAAATTTGCTGTTAATCGAAATATAAAAATCTTATATGTAAATGTTTTTAAAGTACACCTATACCCCACTTTACATGGAAGATAGGTACCATAAAAAAACGAGTAACTCGAAAAAATTACTTTTATATGGAAAAATCGTGCTAAACAAAAATCACTATAAAATAGCCCTTTTTGTTAGTTTTTAATATAATGAGCAACAAATAATTTATTTCAACAACACATTAAGTTTAGTTTTGATCATAAAACGGTAGTTACCATCTTATTTACATATTTCCATCAAAGACATAGACTACTAAGAATTGGTATCTGCAACTTAATCTGCAGACTGCAACATACATTTGTAGTGTTTGTATTTTGACACTATATAGTAATGAAAATGTTAATGTAGATACAAGCAAGATATAGCTTAGTGTTTATAATTTCGTGTAAACGCAAATATAATAAATTTTGCTAAGAAACCGTGTAAGATCAAAAACGGGGATAGGTGTATAGAGATCTCACCAATTTAATAGTTGTATTTTAGATCACTAATTAGAATAAAAACTAAAATCATAAAAAGGTTTTCTGAATACAGAATTAAATATTTGTAATTTCAAACGATTGCTGCAGATGTTTCTGAGAAGTAAAGAATATTAACAAAATAAATTTCGTGAAAAGCCGGTTTTCATCTCATAGATAACAAAACAAATTTTGAAAAAAATATTATATAATTGATTGCTATCATGAGCTGCTATCCAAGTACGAAATACCACATGCTTTTGCTTTTGATTTTCCTGCACATAATCCGACTTTTCCAGATGCAAAATAAAACTACAGATTTATATTCTTGACAGGAATTATAACCCTAGACAATATAATAATAATAATATAACGTACTGGCCGTACTGGCGAGCGGAGCGCCGCGCGAACATTTCGAATTTACAAATATGGCCGAAAACGTAAGGTTCTCACAAAGTGGCGCTGTCATAGGTTGATTTTTGACAGTTGTGTAATATGGTCCCTATGATTATATTGAATGTTATTCTAATCCTGATATAATTTTTAATAAGGAGGTTTAGTAATATTAGCCAATATGGCAAAGTATTTAGGGCTAGATAAAGTCGCTCGCTTATTTAGGATTGTGTCTGCTAATGGCGGAATTAGAGGAAGTCTTGCAAAACTGGCAAGGTACTAATATAAATTCGTTGCATAATTAATAATCTTGTTATTTAGGATTTAATATTTGTTTATACAACGGAACCTGATTTTACAAATTTAGCTATAAGCGATATACGACCCATCAATTACACATAATTGAAACTAATGGATTAGACTCATTATGTGCAAACAATTAGTAGTGGTGTTGAACGGTCTAAGCAATTTTGGCAATATCTAGTATATCTAGAGTTAAAGATCACGCTATTACATCTTGCATTTGTTGTACTTAATTAAATAATTATATATAATTTATATTGTTACATGGCATTTGTTATCTGTTGCCTGTTTTTTTTTAGAACAGATGATTTAAAACTGGGCACTCTAGTAGGAGAAGACAAATACGGTAATAAATATTATGAAAATAATGAATACTTCTACGGACGTAATAGATGGGTCGATTATGCTCCACATGTTGGATTAAATTATGATGCCTCCCAAGTGTGTCCTGAGTGGTTTGGTTGGCTCCATTACAAAACGGATCTTCCTCCAACAAAAGATCCAGCCAGAGTGCATCATAAATGGATGTCGAATCATAGTGAAAACTTATCTGGAACAGATCGTCAATATGTTCCATATTCCACTACTGTTCCCAAAATACAGGCATGGAATCCCAATGCAAAATAAGTCATGAAAATATTTGGATTTACTTAGTCTAATTGTAAATAATGTAATATCTATTTAAAATATATGGAACAAGATCAAGTTATTGTATGTGAATCCTTTTTGTTAAACATAATTTTACATTATAAACATATATTTTATTGAAAATTATGTGTGATTTTGTTATCACACCAACTTCAACATCTTGTCACATTTTTTAATCCATATTATTTTTACGTTAATAATTATTTTTTTAATATAGTATGTTTCAGCAATATGATCATTAATAAATTTTCTCTTGTAAGCATGTAATTATTTTCTATATATTTCTTAAACTCCTTGAATTAAGATAAAACTACATTATTATACTATCACATAAGCTATATTTAATTCAAATTAACTGTAGAAGTTTGCAATATTTGACAATTCTGTAGAAGAGCTAAAAAAATAATACCACTCTGTCGGCTTAACCCATCGTGAGTGATTATAAATCCATTCTGTCTGTAATATTATAACAAAGGGTATGCGTGCATTTCCATATAAAATCAGCCCCATCTTGGAATCAAATAATTTACACTCTTTGTTGAATCAATCTCTTATCAAAAAACAATTGTCATGGTTCTTTTTATAGTGTTTTAGACCATTATTTATAAGAATTAATTTGACATTTTTGTATTTGTGCAGTGCGGTTATTTAGTCCAATTTTTAATTAGCACCAAATCACCAAAAGCTTTCAGGTATTTCTTTCATTACCCAAAATTGTATGTGGTAAATATTTAAAAGTTGATTAAAAGTGCTTTAATATGAATTATTTAAATACCAGGGCATACCAGAAAAGCTAAGACATGAATACTTAGACAAAAGATTATCATGATAAAAATAAAATTAAAAACTTTTATAATATAAATTAGTATTTCTATTTGATAAGTAAGAATGAACTCCATTCATATTCGTTTGGAGAAAAAATGTGCTCTAAACCTTTTTACAAAGTCAAAATATTCCAATATAATAAAGAATATTCTACCTTTTAACTGGAACTTAGCAGTCCAAATTCTTTTATTTCTCTTTTATCTATGTTAGGTTTATTTCGTTCAATTTGTAGGAAATTATAAAAGGACTGAGGGAAAGGATTTGAGAAGATTTGTCATCTCATAGAAATAAGTACTGGTTTTATTTCTAATAATCATTTTTTATAATTTACGAAATCTTTCCTACAAATTTTATGTTTTACAAACGCAATTCATAAAACAAATTAGATATATCACGCTTATCAATATTATTAGAATAATATGCTTCATAATAGATTTATATTCTTTAGCATTTGTGATGTAATCACTTTTAAATTTCAATTATAACAACTCATTTTTTACGCAATATATACATTTTGAATTTAAATTAACTTCTTTAGTATACAAAATGATTCAATAGGATTTGAGAGCACTAATGGAAAGTAATTCAGTGCTTTTTTCTATAAAAACTTTTGACAAATTGTGAAATACAAACATCACACGGATAAAATTAGTCAATATGTTATTTATATGAATGTTCACATTTCACAGATTTTGGAAGTTAAATACTATTATCAGGACCATAAGTTTATCTTAAATTTTAGATCAATAATGTTCAAAACGACATTTTCATAGTTATAACCGATCATATTTCTAAATAAAAACAGACAAATCCAACTTTAAATACCAATAGTAAATAATATTAATTTCTACTAAAAATTTATACAATTTAAAATGGAGCACAATATGTTTGGTTAAAGATCAAATAATATTATCATCATTTAAATCAAAAGGAATGCAATTGACAACTTTACATTTAGCACAAAAATCTTTATCAAGGTCAAGTGATTCTGATTTGAGAAAAACAAAAATCATACTGAATTGCATCACTAAATGCCTTTACATAATAGAGATTTTTTTTATAAATGCATTACTATAAAAATGTCGCTCGGAGCTTATGTTTTTTTTTTATTAATATTTACGGCACAATTATTTTGATATCTTAGTATTAACTAATGACAGAATTATATCAAACAGAAATCTTTCACTCTACAATCATCAGTGCATATTTAGCTACTAAGATTTAATTATAAACAAAATACACTTTCAAGACAATCAATTCATATTTATGATAAAATATCTAGTAGATAATGATTGGTCGGTAGAATAGTGATAATTTGATCACAAATATGGATTTAAATATGATCTAATTGCATCACTTAGAAGAACTTTAAAAACAATTAGCTAATAAAATGATTGTTTTTTAAAATAATATTACAGTAACCACAAAATCTCCATGCGACCAGGTGCGTAAGACATTCGTACATACCACTTACTCAAAATAATTTAATAACAAAGGCATTATAAAATAATAGCCTTTGCAAGTATGAAAAAAAAAATAGACGTCAAATTAAAAAAGAACTTTGCCAAACAAATAAGTTTTTACTGAGTCACAGTTCTATATAAAAATTTTAAATTAATTATATCAATATTTTAAATATTAATACCATAAAAAATTAGTCTATTTTTACTGTTGAATATATTTTACGAACAAATATACTTGTTCCCGCATATCCAACTGTGCCACACATTATTCCTAATGCTAAACTGAACAGACCCATGTATCCGAAATAGAAAGTAGTTTGGAATAAACCGAACATTCTGAAAAATAATAAAATATATCAGTTTTATATATTTATTTATATAAATTTATATTTATAGGTTTGTTAGTGAAAATTAAGGCACAGCACCAATTTATTGCACGAATATGTTTGAATCAACATCAAGAAATATTACTCTAAATAAAATAATAAATCAGCTTAACATTGCAATACAATTACAAGATAATTATTTATGTATTTATTTATTCATTTATAACATAAAATATGAAAATTCATATATCTTCGATTTTAATCCCTAACCTTATATTATTAGAGGAGTTATTACTTTTTTAAGACTTATATAATGTTTGTATAGAAGCATGAGTTTTTAATTGTTTACTTACTTGGTTTTAAAGAAGAAGTAGTAAAAGGAATACATATATACATAAATGCTGGTAGAGCCTGCTGCCAAGAAACTTGTCCATTGCCATCTGTAGTCCTCGGCATTTAAAAGGAAATATGTACAAACAATTGTAACACATACCGTTACAATCATAAGTATTAAAAATACTAACAGCATAAATCCATAGACATAGTATATTTTATAAGCCCAGAATGAGGTGAATATAAAATACCTGCAAAAAAATATTTGGATGTGACTACATGTGAATCTTTCCTCCTTGATAAGGTCATTGAATTTGACACAAAAAATACTATATAGAAAAATATTTGTGTTCATCTATTTTTAGTTGTTTTATGCCAAGATCATTTGAGGGTGCATTCGCGTTGGACGCTTACGCGCTGTGAGCGCTCACACTTATAAGCACAAAATTTTAGTGAAATGGCCGATAAGCGTTTAGAATCAATAACTAAATTTCGTTCGTTTTGGATACTGTGAGCGTCAATAATCATCAACGGTCCATAACAGTAATTGTGTAAATTTTATTGCTTTCTTTCTATTGTAATCTACAGCTTGTCATTTTTGCGGGATTATAAAGAATTTAACAATAAATAAATAAATGAAATTTGGTTAGCTTATGCTTAACTTGCATTCGTTTTGACAGATAGTAAAAACAACTGACGCTCACGCTTTCGCTGCCCTACCTCTGTGGCGTGAGCATATATAAGCGCAAAGTATGTGCTACGAGCATGCTACGATGATGCTACGAGCGTACTTATGTGACACTCACAGCACCAAGTCGAACGATGAAAATTACATGTAAGCACGCTCACAGCGCGTAAGCGTCAACCCTCATATACAAGCAAATATATTTAACAAAAAAATAATATAACATTTTAAATATAATATTATTGTCAGGCACAAGAGATACTCCTACTCTATTTGCTACAGCAAATTTCACTGTTGCAATCTTATTTGCAATCAATTTGCACGTTTTTTTAAATTATCTTCATATTTCAAATAAATATATTTAGTGAATAAAATTCTGCTGAATGATCTAAAGAAATTGATTTTACTGCTTCTTGCGGAAATAGTTGAATAAATTAGCACTTTGTAGCCTTCTTACAGTATTTTTTTTTTTGTATACTGTTTGTTTCTTGCCGTTTCATTCACATTTTATATTTCCATCAAATTTTTTTTATGATGAAAAGTCACAGAATCTTGAATGTTTTTAATATAAAACCATTAATTCATATTCATATCTAAATTTGAAGTGTCTTATTATATATAAAAATGGAAAATGGTCACACAAAGCTTTCCACATGTTACAAGTCTAGTAAAAAAAAAAGAGTGAACTCACATCTCAATAAATATGGATCCGAATGGTAAGATTCCTCCTAATAAAATAATCACAGCTGGCTCCATGAACCACTTCTTTTCTGGAATGGGACGAGGAACAGCATTGACTCTGCATGGAAAATCAGGCTGCCCAGCCAAATTTCTTCCTAGTACTGTTCCGACTAACGTAAGTGGCAAGATGACAAATATACATATGCAAGTTACTGCGACCTGAAAATAATAACATTAAAATATTATATATTATTATAAATTCAATGAATTAGGTTTTTGATCTTTGGGTACAACAATTAAATCACACTCAATACACTTCAACCTTATAAGTAAAAGATGAAATAAAAAGTTTTTTTTTTCTCTAGTGTTCTTTAAATCAAACTAAGCAACTAAAATGAAATAAATAATTATGATTTTTGAGCAAAATTGCTTACATGTTATCAAGAATCTTGTAAATATTACATATAATATTGATTTTTCTGAATATAATATTAAACCAGTCAAAAAGAGGTGAATATTTATTTTATTTATAATATATTGCATATAATATCAGTTAGATAAATTACTTATTCCATGTAGTCATTAAATATTTAAATAAAACATGTGTCTATTATATATTACATATGGTTACTTACCATTGTTCCAAAAGGAATAGCCCTTGAAGCATGATAATAAATTGCAATAAAATTAATTAAAAAGGCAGTTCCACACACTAAAACAGGCAAAAAGAAAGTCGACCACAACATTTGACGAATCCATACTTTGCCTCCCATTTTTGAGTACAAAGAGCCACTAAAATATCCATTGATAGGAGATGTTGCAGCATAAACAAATATTGCAGTAGATAACAATGATCCTCTTCTGCAGAATTAATTTAAACATAAAGATTATAAAAACATTAATATTTTCTTCTAAACAATTTCACTGCATTATTTTATTTTAATTAATTAAATTCCTACATTAACTCATTATAAATTTTTGCTAATTGATATTATACGTACTCTGTATACAGATTTCCTAGTATAGTGAATACTATGACACAAAATACAACTGTTGTTAATTGGTATCCTACTCCTATCAAGGTAGAAAATAGCATAGAATAAGAAGCATGTCGAAAAACATCTCCATGTACTTGTTTCCATCCATATTCATCACCCAAATCACGTTCCTAAAACCAAATTATTAAAATTTTAAGGACATTTATTTAATTCAACCGTAACACAGATTTTCAATCTTTTTCTTCTTTGAGACCTTAGTGATATCAAATACAACATTTTATAAACTATTAATCCTGAGTATTCAAAAATTAGTTTTTCAATGTTCCATAAATATGATAAAAAAACATGTTCCATTTAAAACAAGAAGCAAGAAATAGTTTCAAATACATTTACAAAATACGTTATTTACAAATGCAAAAATAAAAATAGTTTCTTTCTTGTTACAAAAACATTGTCTAATTTTTTTTTCAACTTACCATATCATCTATTTCCTCATCTTTACTATATCTTGCATAATCTTTGCGTAATGTTCTCATCAGAATCATAGACACAAGTCCTACTAAAAATATTACCATCATAAAACTGTTAAATATGCTGAACCAATGTATCTGCAAAAATAATATCATTAAATTATTTATGTTCAATTTATGCACCCTATTTTTTTTGTTGTTCTTTATGTAATTTCACTAATTTTAATGGTAAATTCTGCTTTCCAAATTAATTTTTCTATATAATTTGGTGTTTTAACCACTTGACATACAAATAAAATTGGGCATTGACGAATCCGTAAGATAACAATTAATTTGCTGATTCAGGAACGCATATATATATATATATATATATATATATATATATATACATATATATATATATATATATATATATATATATATATATATGATAAGAAAAGAGACCAATTTATTTTGAAATTTACAAACTTTATAACATTTAATAGGGTTGATACTTAACACAATAGAATAAATACATATGTATTATAAGATTTATGATTGCGGTTCTTAATACTTGCCAATGCAATATTGTTATCAGTATTTTTGTATTTATGTAAAAAAAAAAAATTCTAAAAAAAACAAAATAGCTAATCTAATAATATACTGCTTGGTTTTTGCCAAAGACACTTCGTCTCTGAGACGTCAAAGTCTACAATGGCACCTGAAATGGATGACATCTCAGATACGTCGTTGTTTATCAAGTAATTTAATATTTCGATAATATATTATAAGTTTTAATCAACAAAAGTATTTTGCATTAATGCAAAAATCTAAAAATTCTTTATCATAAATCAATTATTTTAATTATATCTTACAAATAAAAAAAAACGAGCTATTTATATTGTGAATGCTAAAAGAACAAAATTGATATACCATATGTAATAATACAACATAAATTAGCATCTCACCCTATGTTGAAAGAAGTTAGGATCCAAATACTTGTCAAACCTATTTTCAAACTTGACAGTGCTGGGTTTCCATGTCACTTCATAAGTAAACGTCAAAACTGCTCCAGTTTTAAGTAGTTCTTTCTTATGAGATGACAAATTCACATCTACTATTTGCTTGCCATTATATCCAATATCAAATTTCTTGTGTGTGTATATATAGTACTCCTTATCTTCCTCTTTGCCAACTACACCCCAGAGAGGCAAATCGTCTATATACATTTGATACCAATATTGGTTTTTTACAGCATATATAAAAGTTAATTTATCTCTTTCTGATAACTGTACTTTACAGATCTCCGTAGGTGCAATATCAGCTGTAATGAGAGAAGAACTTAATAAGCTATACTGATTCTAGTATATTTTTTTGCTACACCATTATAATAGTATAATAATTAAGTAAAAAAAAAAATATTGCATATAATTCAATTGTTGATCTAGCAATTAATCATTGATGATAGTGAAGTAAAACTAAATGAATATTCTAGAGTTGTGGAATAATAATAATCAAGATATTTTGTAATAATATAGAAGTTTATATTATATGCCCCATCATTCTTTCTGAGGTCTTTCTTAACTTTAAATATAACTAGATATAATTATGTTTTTTTTTTTTAATTAAAATATTGCCTTTTCCATTATTTTTTTAAATTTCAATCTCTAATAATACAAATAAATCTTTTTTTAATTAAATATCTCTTAATCCATGCTCAAAAAAACTTTTTGACAGTAATGTAATACAAGAGATACATCTCATTGAAAGTAACATGAGTATGTTTATAGGATATGGGTAAGTAAAGATAATTGTAAGGCAATTGTTAAAATTAATCTTAGAGCGCTTAACGGCAAAATTCTTTATAAAAAAATTATAGAATACCTTTGAAATCAACCTCATATCCACTTAATACTAGTTCTACACCCTGTAAAGCTTCACTAAGAGTCTCATGATAATGGCTCAGCTGCTTTCTATTTCCAGCGCAAAAAGGCAAAGAAAAGTATCCGTAAGTCTCTTGGCGATTGTGGTAAGGACCAACAGTGTTCATCCATAATACTACTTCTTCATTGTCTTCATACTGACATAAAAAATAAAACAATAATTAAGCGTTTTTAATATTAGCACATAAATACGTGTCAATGTTCAAACAAATTTGCAAAATTATATATCGAAGTTTATTAGTAATTGTTTTTGCAATATACTCACAATGTGACTGTGTTCATCTGCTCTTACGACAATAAAACATAAAATATATATTAAAGGTGATAACTTTTTCATTTTTTTAATTGAGACAACTATAAACACCTATATTTTGACATTTCAGCAAATTTTTATAAATTTTCAAATGTACGCACGTAGCCAAGTGATACCCGATCACATGGAATTGTACTTGTAAGGGAACGCCACACAAGGTCTTTTCGTACAGCAAAATCGATGTCGTTAATAATTCAAAATTAGGCCGCTAGGTGCGAAATGAAAACAACAAACCAAATGTTTATATTAATGTAATAGTAATAACTATCAGTAATTATTATATTGCTAACGCGCTACATATTTATTCAAGTTTTATGCCTAGTCTTGCAATATTATTTCTTATATATTGCGAATGATAATCATAACAAAATAAATAATAAATGATCAAAAATATTGTTTGTTCATTTTGCGATAAAGAGCCAATATTAGCTCTTTATTTGAAAATGCTTAGATTTTATATAATGAATGATTTTATTGTATTAATAAAACACATGCGTGTAACATGCGTGTAACCATTGAATGATTCATATTAAATAATATAAACATGTAGCAATAAAGTGTTTTGTGAATATTCTGAAAAAAGTTCTTTACGTGATCATTTATAATGTTAAAAATCGATCGAAGTTTAAATTATTGCATATAAAATAACAAATTCCGTTATATCATAGTATATTAAACTGAATACAGATTCATCGCTCTTTATCGCATAAAAGATAAAACACGAACAATGCTGTCACTGAGCTGCGGCGCCTTTGATTTTATCTACTTGGTATTCGGCCAAATAGTAAGTTACTCTTCGGTATTCGGCCGAATAATAAAAAAGGTACCAAATAGTAACCGAATGCTATTCATTGCGGCATAGTTCAATTCATAGATAAAAGAAGAGTGTGGTTCAATTTAGTCATATATTAATACTCTTCTTTTTAATTATATGTTTAGATTTATTAAAAAGAAAGCATAGAGAAAGTTTATATAAATAAATTATATTCTCATACTATCTAGGGTTCATACTATATTAATTTCCCGTCAACAGATAAGAACGTCACTGTTAATTTTGTATTTTTAAGGCCTTTATTTTTATTCCTAATATTTCAATTGCTGTCTTTTTCGGATAGTTATGAAAAATAATGTCTAATAAAAGTATATGCTCTGCAGAGCCATGGTTTATATTCTTTTAAACATCTTTGGTTTTTCTTTTGTTTTTAAATAACTATTCATTAGGAATATAAAGACCAAATATTATTATATTGTCTAGGATAAAGACTATTAGACTATCAGTTTGTTTTACACAGTAAACTATAATACATAAAATGCAAGTACAATTTTGTTTATTAAATGTGGAAGCTATAGCTTTTTATAAAGATTAGTCATTGTTTTAGCTTAAGTATCAAATCAATCATATGTAACGTGACGTTAATATAGGCATAACATTTCAATACTAAGATCCAAATATATAAAGTAATTGCATTTATATAATTATATCAAAATTTATTAAATATGTAGTGGAATTGCGCAAAACTCCTATTTTTGACTGATATGGATCATGTAAAGGAAATTGCTGGTAATTTTTGAAAGCCTCTGAATCTTAGAAGAGATCTGTGGATAAGATAGTAAAACTCTCTTGTAGAACGAGAGAAGATTTTGTATTATCTGATTCATATCAGATTCATCATGTGTGAAAAAGAACAGGCTCAAATCCAAGATGGTAAAATTTACAAGCAATCAAAGAAGAAAGAAAAAACTTAACATTATGGTAACACTAAAACTAGGTATGACTTCTTCGTGATAAACTGTCAGGTTGTCATCTGCATGCTGCACTGCAGAGTAATTTCTAAATTTGTCTGAAGTAGAAAAATTGGTTATAACAGAAAATTTATAAAATGGAAATTTCAAGTACAAGTAATTCTAGCATGCATCAAGTGAACTTAACAGAATTAAATATAAATCAATTAGGGCAACTGAAACACCAATTAGATCAGGTATAATTTAGTGTAAAATGAAGGATACAGTTATTTTGCTATCAATGGTGCACAACTATTTTTAATATACTGAATAAAAAAATATTACATGACTTTGTCTAATTTTTTTTATACATCAATAAAAAAATACTGATATTGAAGGGTTTAGGGGTTAAAAATTAACCAGGTGTGTGCCACTTTTTATGGATGTGAGCTCTACAGAAAATTATCATGATATATTTATATAAATTTATGTATAAACATTTACAATTATTTAAAAACATTTATTTATACCACAAATAACACAACATTTAAATAATTTTTAATTACAGGAGTTAACACTGTTTCAAGAATCTGTTCAAACTTTAAAAATAGCACAAGGAAAATTTTTAGATTCTGCAGAAAGTTTAGATAAAATTCCATTAGAAGACTCAAAGGACAATTTTGTCATGGTTCCTTTAACTAGTTCCATGTATGTTCCAGGAACAATTTCTGATAGACAAAATGTAATTATAGACATTGGCACTGGATATTATGCTCAGAAGGTTTGTTCTTGATACTACTTTATAAGAAATTTAGAAAACAAATATTTCATGCTTTTTAGGTCTTTAAAATAGTTGTTTTTATTTTGATTATTTCTGATATTGTGCCTTACGTTTGCAGTTGTTTGTTTTACTTGAACCCCACTATAAATGTCTATGATTACTCATTTGTATTGTGTGCTCGGAATGTAGAGTAGGATAATTGAATAGTTCAAATTCATATTATTCTTCATTTATCAATTATAATTATAATTGCAAAACTATGTTTACAGAGCATTCCTAATGCAAAAGATTATTTCAAAAGACGAGCGGCCTTTGTAACTGAGCAAATGGAAAAAATACAAGCTATGGGTTCGGAGAAGACAAAAATCAGAGATACTATATGCGATGTTATTGAGTTAAAGTTAAATCCTGCTAAAGCATCATAAATGATCGATTGTTGTTTATTATTATTATTTTTTAAATGCTATCTTTTGAAGATTTTGAATCTGATTTATTTTTTGCTTAAAGACTGAATTGTTGTTTCTTTCTGCTTAAAATTCTCAATTTTTTAATGTTTCTATGTTTTTAATAATTTGTACATATATTAGATTTGAACCTGTTTTAAATTCCCTAATACAATCTTTGAGAACTTATTAAATTTCATGATTATTTATTGCTTTCATTTTCAAATTTAAAACAGAAAATACTAAAGGGTTGAATAATGGTTGGTATAACGTATGTATGTATGTTGTATATATATATATATATATATAAATAAAAGTAACTCCTGTGTAACATGGTAGTTACATTCCAAAAAACTACCATGTCATGCAAATCCATGTATTAGTACAAAGAGAGGAGTTACATTCTAACTAATAAAACAATATGCTACATATTATACATTTTATAATAAACATCAATATGTTCATTAAATTTTCTTAAGAATTAATACGCATTTTATGAATTCATTGATATTTTCATCATCACCACTAACTGTAAGTGCTTCACAATGCAATCAGATTTTTTTGCAATATGAGCTCATTGCCTGAGCTTTTTTTGGACTACTTTTATCCATGTTATATTACTGGAAAAAGATTCTTTATAATTGATTTTTTTTTTAGTGTTATTCTTCCATTATAATTTAGTATTGCTTTATTAAAATTTTCTACTTATTTCTTTTGAAGGATCTTCATTCCAGAAATATGACAAACCATTTTGATAAGTTTATACCTTTTTCTTATAGAATGTACATGCTCGAATAAAAATGTCAACTGAGCAAGCTAGAGTTTTATAAGTGTTGTAAGGGGGATGTTCTCTATTCTCGGTCCCTGTTGGAGTAATTACATGTTATAGAAGTACCTTATTGTACGGGTGTTTTTTGTAAGCTGTGTCAAATTGGTGAAGAAAAAATATATTATGGTATTAATAAATGGCAATATTATTATACTTCTCATTAATTGTAAGTGAACTTAGTAACTATTAGTAAAAAATATCAATAGACTAATATTTGCTTTGTTATATATAAGAGCATTGAGATTTGAACGCTTAATACTAGCTTGGGTTTTGAGTTTGATTCATTTATTTTTTATTTTATAGTAATAAACCAAAATTTTTGCATTTTTCCACGTATTGAAGGTTTCTAAACATTTTGGCATACCTCAGAAAAAATTTATGTGTGTGTGTGTGTTTTGTGTGTCCGCATTTCATCGTCCACGTTTTCGAGCGCACAGATCACTCGATTTAAATGGCTCAAAAAACATTCGATTCCTATTGATAGGGAGATGTGCTGATTAGCTTTTGGCAAAGGCGGGTTACGGAGATACAGAGCAAATAGTGCAGAAATTAGAAATCGAGTTTCTGAGAGAACGGAGCATCTGATTTTAATGATCCAAAAAACTTTCATTTCGTAATGACGGGAGAAGTGGTGATTAGTTTTTGGCAAAGGCAGGTCCAGCCCTTTCGGAGATACTATGCTAAATTTGCAAAAAATGGCAGTTTTTGAGAGAACTAAGCATCCGATTTGAATGATTAAAAAAAACTTTCTGCTTATGTTGATAAAACTATCGCTTTTAAAAATTATTTCATTTTTTTTTGCATATCGAACATAATTCAGATTTCAATTTTAATTCTGGCTAAGATTTTAAAGCTCCTTTATATACTTTAAATAAATAATTTTGACTTTGTGATTCAGTTTATGTAATTTTTATAAATATTAGACTATGTTACAGTATTTATTTATAATTCTAATTTATTTATAATTTATAATAATTGATTTGAAAACATTTAATATTCCTCGAACATTTCGTTACGGTACGGGAAGTTCCAGCAATTTGCTTTAAAGCACGCTGCTTTAGGTCATCCACAGTTATCCATATCCTATTTTATATTCTATATTTTAACCTACTGAAAGCATTTGGAGCAAATCATTCAAGAGATGTCGCAACTTGTGCGGTTAATCAACAGTTTAAAATCAATTTGCAAATTTTAAATTTTGAAGACTGAAGGCTAGGAGAATCAAGGAGTATGTTCTAACTGGTTCTCACATTTCTGATTGAGCGAAATTTTTAAATCACTGTGAAAATAAAAAAGGCCCTATCTATATTCGAATCCGATGTTCGTGCGAATTCAATAATTCTTATCTGTTTTGTTCAATAATTTCTGAATTTTCGTTTTTTTATGTACTATTATACATGATTTATTATATGCCTAATATCATCAATCATCTAATAATACATAAATATATATATAAACTTATTTTATTGATCTTATCCTTACTTTTACTTGCTCTCTGAACACTTGTTTGTAGTTCAAGAACAATAACATCTTCTTTTTTTTGGTAAAAATATTCATATGCAATATAGTCAAACACACAATTTAAATAATAGTAATCGCAAAAAGATCGAAAATAAATACTTTTTATTTTGGGCACAACTTAGAAAAAATGCATGTATGTGTGTGTGTGTGCGTGCGTGCGGATACAAAGTTTCGTCGACGATTTTAATAATTAGACTCAAGTTCTTATCTGTTTGCAACTAGTGGTGCATGGCATCGTTATGGCAAACTGCAGGAACTTTCCGTACCGAATACTTAAAATGTTTAAAAAAGCTTTGAAATATTTTGAAAACTTTGAAAAAAATAGATTTCTGTGAATTTTACAATTTGTGAAAAATTGTTTTTTGAAAGATGAATTTGGTTTTCATATTTTGAACACGCTTGAATATTTTGATTTTTCTTTTTTAGAGTAATCGCGCTGCTTTAACTGCGTAGAGACAAAATATCAAAGTGCGTAACTTACCCGTTAGACTGCGACGCAGTAAACGCCGCGTCGCAGTCTAACGGGTAAAAATTGCTACGGAACCCATAAAAATTTTTTACTTATTTACAACAAAAATTGTACTTACTATTAAAATCTCTATAAAATAACTGATCATTTGATGTGCATATGTTCAATAATCATTATTGACCTCAAATTGCGTTTTTTTATTATATCTCCGAAACCGATAAACGTGCTCTTCCCAAAATTTAATTAGTTATTCATTTTATCAATACAAATAAAATCTTTTCTGAATCAATTAAATCGAACGCTTCGTTATCTCAAAAACTGAAATACCATTTTTGTCACTTTTTGTCCCGTATCATCGAAACCTGCCATATTGTTAGCTAAAAAATTATCAGCACGTCTTCTTATCAATACGAACCGAACGTTTTTGAAATTTTCCAAATTGATTGATCCGCGTTCTCGAAATCGTCGACGAAACTTTGTATCCGCACGCACACACACACACATACATGCATTTTTTCTAAGTTGTGCCCAAAATGAAAAGATCTTTTTGCGATTACTATAACTTATCCTACGGGAAATTAAAAATTCATACTGTTATTTTTACATTATGATTTAATATTATGTACTTAAAAGGTACGACCTATATATACATAAGCAATCAAGTTCGATATGTAAAAAAACCCTACTGTGGATTTGAAACATTTATATATTGCGGGTCGATTTCTATGAGTCAAAAAAAGTCGCTTAGGCACATATGATTTTCGGATACTAGATCAAAATAAGATTCTTAGCTGAAGAACTATACCTCTAAAATGAATTCTGATGTCCCGTGTAATGACCCAAAAATAAGGGTTGAAATTTGAAAAATTTCATTTTGACCCATTTAGAGTGCCCCAATCGCGTCCAAATGTATGACCTCACTAACTTTGGATAGCTGATTCACCCATGTCCGTGGTTCATTCTCTGGGATCTCCACTGAGCGGTTTTTCAACATTCAACCCTTATTTTTGGGTCAACGCACGGGACATCAGAATTCATTTCAGAGGTATGGTTTCTTCAGCAAAGTATCTTATTTTGATCCCTGGTATCCGAAAATCATATGTACCTAAGTGACCTTTAAATCGACCCGCCCTAATTATATATATATATATATATATATATATATATATATATATATATATATATATGATTTAGTAGTTAATTTTGATGTTGAAATATATGAGTGAGTTCTTGAGGGCGATACATCAAACAAAGAAAAGCCAAAGATTTATAAAATAATCTTTATTTCCAAACGTTTCGACATTCAATTTAATGTCATCATCAGTGGATATTACGTTGGTTAGTTACATATAGAGAAGTGTACACAGCACTAGAGATTTGGCACTAACATTTATACAACTAACTTGTCAGCACTATGCATTTTTTATATAATTTTTTTTGTATGATGTAAACAGAAAAATGATAGTTTTATAGAACAAAAATGTAAGTAGAATTATGTAATTTCTGCCACGACTTCTGTACTTTGCTAGTAACGAGGCATGTATGATGCCCTCAAGAACTCACTCATATATATATATATATATATATATATATATATATATATATATATATATTAGTAATTTGAATAAATAAATATTCATGTTTTTGAAAGCTCTATATAAATTCAAATTAATGCTATGTCTATTTTCAGCCTTTTTTGTGCTATTTTTGAAACTATTTTAATAATAAACTATTTTAATAATAAACTATTTTAATTCCCTTTTCAACATAGTATTTTACGATAAAAACGTTCCATCAGTTAACTAGTTCTTCAAACCTAAAAGTTAAGAAAATTACAATTAGTACCATCTTACACTAATTGTGAGTGTGTTGAAACAAATGAGAAAATCAATTTCAATTTCGATCGAATTTAATAATTTATTCAAGATAAAATTAACAAATGAAATATCATGTTTTATATAAATTGAATTAAAAGTGGTGGTCTATGGCATCGTGCCTTAAGGCAAATTGCTGGAACTCCTCGTACCGCCATGAAAAATTCAAGGAATATTAAATGCAATTAAATGTTTTCAAATAGATTATTAGAAATACTGTAACTTGTGTATGTTTACAGAAAAGTAAATAAACAAAACTTGTTCAATCGAATTTAAAATGAAGGACATATTTATAACAATTATA